GATATAGCAAGTATGTTCTGAACACACAAGTCACACAAATGAAAATATGTCTGGCTAGTAATGAGTTTATCTTAAGAAGAGAACTGTGCATTTTAACTCCTCCATTAAGTTATGGGCCTTTAAGGGCAATTTTGGTTATTCATTCATCTTTATATCCCTGCTGCTTAGCTCCATATTGGACACATAGCCGCCCCTCTAATTTATGAACTGAACAGACTCAAAATAAATATAATTTATTCTTTTTTTTTTTTAAGAGGTTTTTGCTATAGGGCATACGCGCTCGCCAGAAAGACAGAGACAGAAAGCGAGAAATCACCCCCAGGGGGTATGGCCACACCGCAATCCCTTCTCCTCCATTCTCCTCTCAGGATCTTGGGCACACATGCACATGCGCCCAGTGTGAGTTTAAGCCACCGGGTCTGGGACTTGAAGCACAGTAGACTACATGGAAGTTCAGTGACATAGACATTACGCTAACTGCTGGTCCCAATATCATTTATTCTTTAACTTTCACGTGATGTTGACTCTCTGTTCCGCATACAGCCTGAATTATTTCAATTTAGATCAACCTACAGTTTCTTGTTTCCATAGTTTAACATTTCCAGTAACTGGGCTTCAGTATATTTCATCAATACTTCAGGTAGGGTATGAAAATATTTTGTCTTGAGGAAATATTTTTTCTCTCACTTTGTAAAATTTGCTATTATCTTTTTTTACACACAATGGTACTTCAAAAAGCCTGTTGTGAGATAGAATTAAACTACATTTTGATGTAAAAAAAAAAAAATGTGAAAACCATGCATAGTTTTTTCAGTAATTAGGTATTTTCCCTGAATTTCTGAAGAGCCTGTGTATTTCCCTGTAATGACTAAAATCCCTAAGAATGTTATAGCTGTTTCAATAAAGTTAGGCACCCTGATTACATAAGTTTAATGCACACAAATTTGCAGTATGCTTGTAATTCTAATACATTCAGGGTATAAAACTCAGTTTCCAAGTAATGCCCACAGTAAGAAACAGAATCCCCAAATTGCTATTTGGTAGATACCCTATAAAACTCAAAAGACAGAACTCTCACTTGGTAAATATTAGGGTTTTGACACCCTAACACAATCTGTGTTTCTTCTGTACTGTCAGGAGTAGATTCTGTGCTTTGATTTAACCCGGGATCTCAAGATTCTGACAAATACACACACCCCTGAGGACTTCTGGAATTTGCTAGTCATCTTTACTACTGTAGATATGAACTGCTGATAAGGCATAGGTTATCTCTTATTTAACTAAACTAGTTACCAATTATTTTCAGTAGTGCTTTCAAATCAATGAAAATCCAATCCCCATGAAAAGTCAGCAAGTAAAACTTCCTTTCCTCACATAATTGATGCCATGGTCAACACTGTTAGTTTAACGTGAAGGCCAACAGCCCTTATGCTGGCCAACAGAGGAACTATTAACATTTTTTATGAGAATATTTCTTTGGGCCAGCTTCATAGCCCAGTGATTTAGGAAGCCAGATTCCACATGGATGACCATGGTTTGAATCCCGGTCCTAGTAACTTGGGCACATGTGCATACATACTCAAAATCCTGGAAGAAAAATCACTGTAGTGTCACCACTTATCGCTGGAGGATGTTTCTTCTCTCTGGCTAGTACACATGCCCTCTGGCACTTAAATAATATCTCCTAAACCAAGGAGCCCCAAGCCCCAGGCCATGGAACCGTACAGGTCTGTGGCCTGTTAGGAACTGGGCTGCACAGCAGGCAGTGAACAGTGGGTGAGCAAGAGAAGCTTCATCTGTATTTACAGCTGCTCCCTATCACTCACATTGTCTCCTGTCAGATCAGTGGTGGGTTAGATTCTCATAGGAAACCCCAGGTGGGACCATCCAATTGCAGGAAAATCCCACTGATGCTACATTATGGTGAGTTGTGTAATTATTTTAGTACATTATGCATTACAATGTAATAATAGAAATAAACTGTACAAAACATATAATGTATTTAAATCATCCCAAGATTATCCCCACCCCACCCCACACCGATTCATGGAAAAATTGTCTTTTTTTTTTAATCTTGAGGTGAACGTTCACTTCATATGATTACAGTAGGTTTTTTGTTTTGTTTTGTTTTTTGGAGAGTTTTTTTGTTTTGTTTTGCTATAGGGCATGTGCGCTCTCCAGACAGAGAGAAAGACAGAAAGCAAGAAATTATTCCCCGGGGGGATGGCCACGCCACAATCCCCTCTCCTTCATTCTCCTCTTGGGATCTTGGGCACGCACGCACATGCGTCCGCCGTGAGTTAAAGCTACCAGGTCCGGGACTTGAACCACGGTCGACTATGTGGGAGTCCAGCGACACAGCCATTACGCTAACTGCTGGCCCCTGTTTGTTTTTTTGAGAGTTTTTTTGCTACAGGGCGCGTGCGCTCCCAGAAAGACAGAGAGAGACAGAGAGACAGAAAGCAAGAAATCATCCCCCCAGGGGGAATGGCCACGCCGCAACCCCTTCTCTTCCATTCTCCTCTTGGGATCTTGGGCACACATGCCCAGCATGAGTTTAAGCCACTGGGTACGGGCCTCGAACCATGGTCGACTACGTGGGAGTCCAGCGACATAGCCATTACACTAACTGCTGGTCCCAAAATTGTCTTCTAGGAAACCAATCACTTGTGCTAAAATGGGGGTGGGGGGGCTGCTATCTGAAGCCACAGTGCATCAGCATCCTGGCCCCATTGGTTCAACACTATCAGCCATACCAACAATAAACACAATCCCTTATGTTGTTAAATGCCCACTTGGAGGTAGAGCGTTCACTACTCTTAACTGAAAACTACTAATTACTGCTATCATGCTTCAATCAGCAAACACAGATTAACTCCTCCTCTGAAGCAGGTAAAGGAAACATCAAGATATGTAAGACACAGCCCTGCCTTGGACCTAGGAATCACATCTATCTTCTTTCCATCATCAATAATGCTATATGGGGTCACTCGAATTAACAGTCAAAGGGATATACATGAAACAGGCCACACTGTCACCACTGCAGAACAAAGTGAGGACGATCAACTGACCTACATGTTTAAATGTGTTTTGGAGAACACTACAGAAGGAAGGTAGAGAGCATGATGTAGAAAAAAAGAACCAGAGTTTTGGGGTCAGCTAGAAAGACCTAAATCCTTAATGCACGAAACTTCCTTCTCTCATGATCTGATAATCATTCCTTACCAAGAGGGCTACCACTCTTCCTCCTGCTCACCTGGGTAGAAGTGTTTTGTGTTATCCCAGAGACCAAGGGATGCTACTGGCAATTAGTGGGCAGGGTTATGGATGCCAAATGTCCTACCAAGGACAGGAGAGTCCGGTTCCAAGAGTTGTTCCACCCAAAATGCTTATTAGAGCATCCACCACTCAGCATTCTCCCTCCCTCAGTTTCTTCAATTGTCAGATGGTGATCACAGCTTTCAGGCTGTGAGGTTTAAATGAGGTGCTCTAAGTAAAAGTGCCCAGCCTAGGTGTAAGCACACTCAGTCCTTGACAAATGCTGTTCCCCCTTTTTTGCTCCCTTCTGAGTTACTAACACTGCATGTTGTTCATTTTAAACAGGCCCATCATGCATGACAAAGCAAAGAAATAAAATTGAGCAATCATTTTCTCAACTAGGAAGGCAGGTATCCCTCCAGTTTCATATTTCAGCAGTATCTGTTCAACAGGCTTTCGCAAAATTCTCTAAACATCAAATCAAGTTCAAGCACCCTGCCTATAAACCTTTATGACCGAGTTCAAATCTAACTTTCCTACTGTCTCTTTTACTCTGTTCCACTAATACAAATAGTCCGTAACAGACCACAAACTCCTGCAGGCCTCTGATCAGCCTACTATCTATTCCCTGTTTCTCTCCCTCTTTCTGGCTAAGTTCTCTACTCACAGAAACATCACCAATTCTTCAAAAGGCCAGTTATAAATCACTTTTACTGGGCAACCTATGGCCTGATGGTTAAGGGAGCCATATTCTACCTGGTCAACTATGCAATTCAAATCCTGACCCCCAACAGCTTCAGAAACACGTGTGAATGCACATCCCCAAAATCCCAGTAGGATGAAGAGATGGAGAAGGGTTTGGGGCATCACCATACCCCATTGAATGCTACTTTCTCTCTCTGGCAAGCACACAAACCCTCTGACAAAAAAAAAAAAAAAAATCACCTTTACCCTGAAGCCCTTCCTAGTGTCCCCTATCATTCTTCGAGTCCATTCTTCGTGTGCCCACAAACTGGACTGAACACTGCAGCAGTGTTTCTCACAGAGGGGTCTGGAGAACTCCAAGCAACCTCAACATTCCTATGAAAATTTCAATTTTTTTCATTTCTATATAATCTAAAATAAATTAATATAAGCACTTCCTGGATCTGGTCAACCACCCAAGATATGAGTACTATTAAGCAATTTCAATGCCCACACTTTGTCTAAGTACACAAAAATGTTGATACTAATAGGCTTTCTTCAATTGCTGAAGGTTAATGACAATAAAAGAGCCACAAGCTCAATATGTAAATGATGTGTTCACACCAAGTGAACCCCAAATACACAGAACACCACAAAGGATCCCTACCATTCAGAGGGGAATACTGGAACACCAGCATACGGCATGATGCAAGGCAGCACAGACATGGCCACCCCTCCAAGACCCTATGTCTGTCCGTTTGTACTGCAAACACTCTGTAAGTAGCCAAAAAAGAGTCATCAGGATAATGTAAATCTGACTTTATTGGTCATGTCGTTATGTCTGTGTTTTAATTCTGTCAAAGAGTTTACATCCCATTTTGTATTTGTGTATGTGTAAGTTACATAATAAAATGCATTTAAGTCAATACAGGAGTGCAGAAAAGGAAATTGTATAACAAGGCTGAGAAAATGCTTTTCATTTTCAGTACCCTGAAAAACCAGAATGCTGACATTCACTTTATTTATTTTTCAAATTGTATTCCTGTTTACTATGGCAGAGAGTGCACGAAAGAAAAAGAGAACGCCTCAGTGGAGCCTGGCCACACCACAATCCCTTCCCCTCCAATTCTTCATCCTGACTGGACCCTGGAAACACATGCCTACTCACCATGTAAACCATCATGACCAGGACTCCAACCCTGGCTGGCCAGGTGGGATCCTGCTTCCTCTGAATAGCACTTAACTGCTGCATTATGGGCCAGCCGGCACTAATTGTTAGTGAAAGTAAGGGGCCTCAGAGTTGCAGTCACAGTGAAAGATTTGATATATGCTTGCCAACTAAAAACAGCTGTGTGATTCTGGGCAAGTTTCTTTAATCCTTTTGTTTTGTTTTACTGTATAATGGGAATACTGACAATACAAGTTGTCAAAGGTCATGTTCAATAATTTTATTAAAAGTACTTTGTAAACTGGACAGAGCTAGACAACTAATGTACTATTGTTGGCCAAGTGGTCTTCTTGGAGCTTCCTGAGAGAAAGGATCCTTCTTCACGGTCATCTTTACCTTACCAAAACAGACGTTTTTTCTTTCTTTTTAAAGGATTTTGCCATAGAGTATGTGTGCTCATTCGAGAGAGACAAAGAGAGATACAGATACAGAGAAAGTGAGAAATCACACCCCAGAGGAGATGGTCACACTTCAATCCCTTTTCCTTACTCATCAGGATTTTTTTTTTTTTGGGGGAGAGGTTTTTGCTATAGGGCGCATGAGCTCACCAGACAGACAGAGAGAGACAGAGACAGAAAGCGAGAAATCACCCCCCAGAGGGGATGGTCACACCGCAATCCCTTCTCCTCCATTCTCCTCTCGGGATCTTGGGCACGCACGCACACGCGCTTGGCGTGAGTTTTAAGCCACCAGGTCCGGGACGCGAACCTCGGTCGACTACGTGGGAGTCCAGCGACATAGCCATTACGCTAACTGCTGGTTCCCACTCGTCAGGATTTTGAGCACACACACATACACATGTACCTCGTGTGATTTTCAAGCTGCAGAGTCTGGGACTTCAGACAGTTTTAAGACTGAGTTGACGCCTTTGCATCTAAAATACCACTGCAAAAGGTAAACTGACCTCTTATTACAAGTTTTTATTGCCACCAGAGAACCAACCAAAATACCCTTTCATTTTGAAATAAGATCACAGTGACAGATAGGAATTCTGTTTCCAATCTTGTTAACACCAGGGTGTTGTGTTACTGGGACATTCAGTACTACTAAGCGTTTCCATTTGTTTCATTAAACTTTCAACAAAGGCTTTGTTTGTTTATATCCTTGAAAAGAAAGATTTAAGCTCATTTAAAACAGTGAAACACCCACACAAAGGATTATCTACTATCCCCTTAACATCTGGCAAGTTCCAAAAAAAAAAAAAAAATTAGAATAAAATGAATGTTAGTATAAGCACAATTAAAATTTTTATTGTCAAAAAGCCAAGTGGCTTGTGCCTATCTGGAGACATGACAATAGAGAAGTGGTAGGTGGACAAGGAAGTAGCTGCTAAAGTGGTCAGCTCCAGCCTGAAATCAGGCTAGAAGTGAGAAGCGCCTTCAAAAGTCTAAACATGCAAGGTAGGCCGGCAGGAAGGATGTCAGGGCAGCTGGGACATGAAGCTGGAGTTGGCCTGTTTGCTGCTTTCTAACACTGACTCCCAACTTGTGCTGAGTCTATTTGTGACTTCTTTTAAAATCTGTTTTCATATTACCTAAGATTGTTGTTACAGTGTGGGCAGGCACTGCGCACTGTCCATGCCAACACAGCTCTCTGACATCCTCCTTGAGACCTGTCAGACTTCAAAACTATTTTTAACCACTGTGAAACATTGAATGCTAAACTCAACAGACAAGGCAGTAATAGGTGACACTTCTCATGAGATTAATCGGTCAATTTCAGTGGGTGCATTCTTGGCAAGATGTTATTTTATTAACAGATGGTCATTACAGAAATGTTTCACAAGCAGGGAGACTGAGGAAGGACCAAACACATCTCAAAATCTGCATACGAATGGAACTCGGTCAGTTTTCAGTATCCTGTCCTTGTTTTGGGTTTTGCTTTTTGTTTTGAAGTATCCCCAGCCCAGAATCTTTAGCCTGAAGTAAGCATGGCTTTCTAGAGCGCATCCTTCCAAAAATATGAGTTACACATTCTTCCAATGCAATTTGGGGGACACAGGAGTGTAAGCCTCTCTTCCCATCAAAAGTTTCAAACACCAAGTTGTATTTCTTTTAACCTCCATTCCTCCCTTGAGGTGAATGAAAAGATTCAAGGACAGGCATTTTAATGCACACCACCGAAAACATTAGATTGTATGGAAGGTAGAAAAGGAACTACAGAGAAGGGCACACTTCGATTTCGGGAACCAAGACAGCTACAGTTCTGGTTTCTGGAATCTGGCATTTGGGGCAGATGTTTCCAGTGGCAGACGGGAGAGAAAGCAAGTCGGTATCACGTTAATGTCCAGTCCATGGGAAACAGAACTAGCGAACTTTTTGTTTGGGGGTTTTGATGAAGTCTTGGGAACTCTCTTTAAAGGAGCACCCCAGGGGCACCTAAGGAATATGGGAAACCACAGCGGAGGGGCTGCCGACCCCGGCTTCGCCTCGGCCACCTCGGCGTGGGTCTGCCCGCACACCAGCGGCTCTCGGCTCGCGCCCTCCTCGCCCGCCCGCCGCCCTCGGCTCACAAGTGTTTCGCATTACGCCGGCAGGACGCCGGGGACTGCTTTCGCTCAGAACTTGGAGAGCAGACGCGCGAGTGCAACGGGGACAAAATCACGTACCGGCAGGCGGAGGTGGGAGTGACGCCGGCCCGGGGGGAGCGCACCTCGCGGCGCGGCAACAACTCCCCCAGATTTAACCAGCCTGGGAAGGGGAGTGATGCGGCGCTCGGGCGCTGGGCGAGGAGGAGGAAACTTCAGAAATGGAGGAAGGAGAAGAGAAAGTGGCGAGCGGTCTGCAGCCTGGCCCCCAGGCGCCCCAGCCCCGCGAGTCCGCGCAGGCCCCCGCTGTCCCCCGTGGCTCCCACCTGGCAGCGCCCCGGCCCGGAGCCGGCGGCTGGCTCGTCCCCGGCCTCGCCTCCTCTTCCTCTTCCTTGTCCCGGGAAGGGTTTCGGGGAGCGAAGAACCGGGAGAAGCTGTGCCACGGGGCGCTGCCCCTCCTCCGGCCGCCGGACATCCCGGCGCGGTGAGCGGGGGAAGGACGAGGCGGCGCCCGGCGCCCGCAGCCCGGAGCCCGCGAGGGCAGGAC